TTGATGTTTGACAGCGCAAACTAAAGGGTACTTAACTTTAGAAGCAAGCATTATGACTGACGTGTTCAGGTGCATGCTTATGCACATCTGATATTTTATTTCAAGGATTACAAATGTTTTGACTCTGATTTGCAGTATACAAATGGGTGGGTGCAGGCCTTAAGGTATAAGCTCCTGAGCATCTTTGAGCTGGCAAACTGTGCAAAGTCAATACCCGAAAAGCATTTGAATACAAATTTGTCTGTCTGTCTTGCTCACTTTGGCTATCCTTCAGTTTGGCTAAATAATAACAAACTAACAAACAAAAAAAATCCCACAACGATCTTCACCATTTTAATAAAATAAAATGCAATTCCCAAGCTGGATGTAACAACGTCAAATTTAATATTTGCTGTATTGTTTTAAATTGAATAAATAAAGCCACTTATTGTTAAGACCTCTCACTATATGTTTACAACAAGAGCAAAAAGGATTATTTGAATTTATAAAAGGTCTATTTTTGGAGGATCATTAATATAATTTTGAATTAATTTATATAAATCAGAGTTTCCCAAACTTTTCTGCTCACCCACAGTTATAATGATAATGGAATAAAATGGTGACCCCAGCTCTTGTTGAAGCACAAACATCTTTAAGCCACTTAAATAAGAGCATAATGACAATACAAACATTCTAAAAACCCTATACTGTTTTTATGTACTTCAAACCACAGTTTTTTTTCTCTTATTTTTAATATTCTAGAAATGTGCCCTTGTGAATAAGTTCATTTTAATTGCTAATGATCATCTCAAGACCAGGAGTATTGATCAGAAGTTTGGGAAACCGGTGATATGGTTCGTTTATTAGAATACATCCAACATGTGTCATACTACTGGTGCTAAGTTGATAATTATCATTTGGGAAATGCATTTATCAACACTTTATTGTCAATTTAATAATCTTTTCAATCATTAAACAAATGGTTTTGTAAGTGATTTGACTGACAGTAACACAACATTGTTGAAGATCATGCTGCGTCCAGTGCCATGAGGAGCTTTAAGTTTTATCCTGCATTGAAATGTCTTCTTTTGGTTTATTATCCTGTACATAAATACAGCCTGTTTTTCTAAGATACCATCAACTTGTCATGGGGTTTCTTTACTCTGGTCCCACTCTTGTCATGTTCCCAGAACAGGAAACTGGAGGGATCTTGTCTCAGTGTGGTCTCTAAATCTCACAGTCTATTTCCATCCCTGGTCAGAAAACCCAACTGCTTATATTTCCAGCTGCAACTGGATATGTTGCATTACTTTTGGTTAACAAACACCAGGCTGGTCTGACAAGCTCTGGTAACTCCACAACTCAACTGGAGCAGAGGCATTTTGAGGAAGGAAGAGACCACTACTGCAAAGGTTTCAGACAGTTGGTACAGTATCCCATAAATAAGCCCATCGTCTGTCAACACTGCGGCAGCGCAGTAAGCTATGGTGTGCCAGTTTGTAGCACTATTTAGATTTTGAATATATAAACACCAGTAGCCACCCATATGTGAGAAATTTGTGCAGAGGGAAATGGATAAGTAGCAGGGCAGGAATAGTTTTAGTCAGTTCAAGGAGAGAACCAATACGTGCAGCAAATGAAAATGCATCCCACTTTATAAATCTCTACACTTTACAATGATAGCTTTAGACATACAAAGAACAAAGTAATCCAATGGCAACTGGAATGTTGCCAATGGATTACTTTGTTCTGGATTGCAATTGGCATCGAGCAATTTTCTACAACACACGTACCTTCAATAAGAGCTTATAAAATCATTGGAGTTGTGTTCCTTTACTTACTTTTTTCATGGTACTTGTAGATGACAAGTGTCCAATCTGCAGACCAAAGCTGGGAGTTTTTGGAACAACCCCAAATCTCATAAATCTTTTGTATTCAGATCATTTTTAAGTATCCGTCTGTTGTGAGTCACTGGAGATAAACAGCATTTTCCAACAGTGCATGAAAAAGAAGATAAACAAGACGAATGGATGGAAGTTTTTTGTGGTCTTGGTATTTTTGCAAGCTTAGATGTTGGATTTTTAGTCTGTTGTTCCCTAAACCCTCACCTGTTATTCAGCTCCTCACACCCGTGTCATGTTTGCTCATTAGCTCACCTGCTACTTATCCATGAGTCATCCATCCCAGCACATACAACCTCCAGTTTTTTCCATCATTGTCAGATTTTACTGTTTCCTCGCTCACAGGCTGCATTCTGTTTGTTTTTCATTTGCTTCATTTGATCATCAGCTGCCTGTACAGTTTTATCTAACAATCCTGCCTCTTAAAATTCCACTTTGGATCTTCAACACATCTTTTAATAACAGCAATTAAAAGTTCTTAAGAAGATGGACCAGCAGTTCTAGGACCAGCAGACTGTGGAACAGCTCCGTCCATCAGGCCGTGAGGATGCTGAACTCTCTGCCTGCCCCCCCTCAGCCCCCTCTCCCACTTCTGCCACCCTGCACACACTAACTCAGCTTCCTGACACCCCCCCCCC